CTCCCTACCCAGGGTCTCACAGTATATATAGACCCATGCTCATCCATTCCAGTATTCTCTGAAGATGCTAGTCATATAGATGCTGGCGAAACCCCAGAAAGAAACTCTTCTGGAACATGGCCACACAGCCCGAAAAAACCCACAAAAACTAGAGGAGGAACAACAACTTGTGGCCTTGAAGGCGTCAATCCGGTGGGGATTGACAGAATCCTTAGTAAAGTGGGCTGGAAGAACTTTCCAACTCTCTTTCCCAATCCCAGGAGGGCAAATAACTGGGATCGTTGGCTTCTCCTTCCTTGGGAGGACTGCGAACAGGCTGTTAGGTCTCCTGCTTTTCCAGACTGCTCTCTGCTGCAGATCCAATGTGGCATCCCAGACAGACAGATGCCAGGGACGGGATGGGGCTTAGTAACTCAGAAGGTGTCCTTATGCACCCCTTTTCCCTCCCAAATGTTGGGCTATGGTGAGGACTAGGAGGTGCATGTTTTGATTTTGCACCCCTGATTTATGTCTTGCCTGGAGGGGCAACCCTTCTGTCGTCTAGACAGGCTTCCCTTTCCTATCTCCTGTGTGGGGTCTGAAAACAGTGTCGATCAGGTTTCTTGCCAGCCTCAATTTCTGTAGCAGCAAGACATGTTAACTAAGTGGTTTGGGGAGCAGGGAAGAACTGAAGCTGTGGCTGACTGTGATGAATATTTTATAGGGGTTTTTGAGGTACTTGGAAGTATTCTTGTGGTTCAGAAGTTTCAGAGCAATAGACTGTCTTGTTCTTATGTAATTAGTAGCATTAAGAAGTTGGATGAATTTAAGTGTTCTAGGTTAATACATTTTGAACAAAGAATTAGGTGAAGTCCATAGCTACCCCCTTTTTTTTCTTTGTGTCTCCCAGATATAAAGTTTGCTGCATGCTCATGGGAAGGAAGACTGTTTTGGGCTTTATGATGCAGTAGGCTTGCTTTAAGGAGACAGCTACATGCAGTTCAGAACTGACTCTGTACCACAGAAGACAATTGCTCCTTGTATGTAAAACACCATAGAAGCAAACAAACTGTTTTTTTCTTAACATGACTTGGTTTCTTGGAGGAAATCACTATATCAAAATATAGTGTCTTCTGCATACACATCATGGGCACATTGCTAGGAAATGAACCTGTGCCGAATGATGTAATCTAAAACACAAGAAAAGATAGGGCAGTGCAATAGCTGAAAGCAAGGAAGTATTATATTCCTTATATACAGTACTATCATTTACTGTTTAATTTACTAAATAAGAGAGTGTGTAAATATGGCTCAATGTAGATTGCAGTTGCACAAAAGCATAACTTCACAAAAATCAATCAGCTGTGGGAAATGAACATCTTGAAGTAGTATTATAGAAATACTGGTCCTGAGGTCTTTCTACAACACCTGGGGTCCTTGATTCAACAAGGCTTCCTAATGATGACTTGTAAAACAAAATGAAAGGCTAGTAGCTTTACTTGAATAGACCTGAAGGTTGGAATAAATAAATATCACTGTCCACAACATTGCTTTTTGTTATGAAGCATTTTTGTGTTGATTGATATTTGTTACTCTCAGTGTAACACTAAAGTAGCTGAAAGTACTGATAAGAAACATATCTGCTACATAACATAGCATATTATGACTTTTTGTTTGCTTTGGATTTGATCTGCTGTAGGTCCAGAAAGTGGATAGCAACTTTTACATAACAGTTTCTGGAGAAATAGATACTATGTTCGTCTGTTGCAGGAAAGTCTGCAAAAGAGCCTTGTGCCACCTAAAAGACTAAAAAAATAATTTTATTATGGCATAAGCTTTTGTGGACTACTGCCCACTTCATGGTCCACACAAGCTTATGCCATAACAAAACTAGCTATTAAGGTGCTTCAAACTTAGCTTTTAAGATGCCACAAATTTCGGTATTGTTTTTATAAAACAAGCTCAGTGAAACAAAATTATGGAGTGCATATAAACATATATATTTATGTAAAACATAAGATCAAGTGACAAGGCAGTTCCTCTGGCAGATAATCATGGGTTTTGATGATAGGTCACTTCTTTAAAATAAAGATAAAAGATAAATAAATAATTCTCTTATATAGGTTACACTCTTTTGCACACCATATCCCAGTAAACTAATGTAAATAATTATACATAGGTTTGGGATATAAACATGGATTTGCATGACAACTATCAACTGTGTAAAATGGCATTAAATTGCAACCCTCCCCTCGCATATATGTATACTTATGCAGTAGGATTTGTTCCCAAATAAGCATGCTAAGGATTGCAGCTATAGTGCAGCTCCACTTATTCTGATTTATGGACTGAACAGAAAGGAGACTGGGCTGAAATATAGCATTGGTGCATATACTACTGCAGGAAAACTGTAGAAAATATTTCTGTAATCTATTCCAGACTGTGTAGCAATTATTGGAATCATACTGTAATTTATATTTGTGTGATTATCTCTAACTTTTTGCTAGGAACAAGTCTTGCTACAATAGATATTTATCTGTAGCCAATATACAATAAACATTTCCTAGTCATGAATGTATGTAGCCATGTTCTACTGCTTGTCAGCTAGTGGGAAAAGGGATGTTAAGAAGGATAAACATTCATTTTTAAAGATTTGCCACTGAGTTCTGATTTGACTGTCTGGCTTGTGGGTGGAGCTAGTTCTTTATATAAGTAATTCACTATCCTTCAGTTTGATGAGGATATCAGAAAGAGGCAAACACTATCTATTGCCTATTGAAGCATTCATTGACCTATGACAGCAGTAGAGAGGATATCATCTGACCAGAAACTCCCCACAGCAGTGGTGGGAGAGGTAAGGCATCTTGGGATACTTAAAAATGTTGGAAAGTGACTTTATACTGTGTCAGATCATTGATCCATCTACTCTAGTTAACTATGACTGGCAGTGCCTCTCTAGGATCCCAGGCAGAATTCTATTCTAGCCCTGCCTGGAGAGTCGTAGCATTTCCTGGGGGTCTTCCACCCAAGTACCAATCATGTGCTTGTGCTGTTTTGGGTGTGTTAAAGACTGCATTAAATGTGAGGAATGGGATACCCATAATCTGATCTATATGGTGTTGTTGTTGTTGTTGTTGTTGTTGTTTTTAACCAAACCAAACATGAAGACAATAGGTGTTCCTGAAGCAAGCTGCATCACGGATCACTGGAGATTAGAGGCATTCCTTTTTGTTGTCTCTACTTTTCCTGTAATGTTTGAAGGAGGTCAGGGAATCCTGCAATAGGTCCTGGTTTAGTATTATCATTGGCCACAAATTATTTGTGTTTGTGAGAAAACTGCTGAGAGTCTGCTTTTCCATGGATGTTAGGCATGGATTTTTGTTGGGTGTGGAAAAGATGAAGACTTGCTTTGAAGAGCAATGACAAAACTTTCTGATATAGCTGTTTCATGATAAGTCCTATATTAGGTTCTGTGAAGCAGTTGCCTCAGCTGGCAGATGCTGAGAGGAGCATTGGCTGAAGTGCGTTGCAGGAGAGTGGTATCCCATGCTGCATGTGGACACTGTAGGCCTAAGCAGACTGTCAGAAATAGTGCACATTAAATTGAGGCACTGCCC